GCCTCCATATGAAGCATTGTATGGGAGGAGGTGTCGTACACCGTTATGCTGGGGTGAGGTTGGCATGGCCAAACTCGAGGGTACTGAGTTGGTTGAGATCACCAAGTCAAGGGTGAAGTTGATTCGAGAGAGACTCAAAACGGCTCAGGATAGACAAAAGAGCTATGCCGATAAGCGTCGGAGAACCTTAGAGTTTAAGGGTGATGACGAGGTATTTCTTAAGGTTTCTCCTTGGAAAGTAATCATCCGATTCCGAAGCTGGGGGAATCTTAATCCACGCTACATAGGGCCATTCAAAATTCTAGAGAGAATTGGGGCCGTAGCATATCGTCTATAGTTGACTCCTGAATTAGAGAAGATACATAATGTATTCCACGTATCCATTCTTAAGACATGTACATGATCCATCTCATGTATTGGAAAAGCCGTCTGTGGAAGTGCGCGAGGATTTGAACTACGTCGTTCAATCGATAAAGGTCACTAATAGGAAAATAAAGAAACTGAGGAGTAAAGAAGTTCCAATGGTTAAAGTCCTTTGGAAGAGTGAAAGGAATAATCTTAATAGTATTGAAATACTAGTTAATGATTACTCCATCCGTCCCCCTAATATTGATATGGAAGGGAGTGGTGTGGTTTTTAACAAAAGTAGAATTATGTGGTTGGTAATGAGTTGATAAAATGGAAATAAAGTAAGAATGAATTAGAGTCACACAAATGTTACCAAATATGGTATGGGACAATAATAAAGGGACATCCAAAAATGAAATAATGGGACAATTATAGGGGGACGGATGGAGTATTTGTAATTGTTAAAGAATTTATTCTAAAGGTTTGATTGTAAGTGATGCACTTGAATGTGATTCAAGTGACTAAATTTATTTTTATATGAAGCTAAGATCATGTTATGGGCAGTCCTTAGGGATGTCCCAAGGTAGATTATTGATATGTCAATTCTAGGCATAGTGTTGCTTAGGAATTGGGTCTATGCCATGGCACGGTGATGTACTTGAGTTGGACTCTGTGCATGGGTAGACAAGGGGTTGTGATTCATGACATGCATGGTGATGTACTTGAGTTGGACTCTAGAAATGCATGGTCAGGTCGAAGGATGTAATTTATGATGTGCATGGTGATGTACTTGAGTTGGACTCTAGAAATGCAAACATATGTGTTAGGGCTGGACCCTATGAATTGTCGTGACTAGTAGTCACGGGGTATTGGGTTGATGTTTTGTAAACAAAACTTGGGCCTACGGGCCGACTACTTGACTTTATATAAAGTAAGTATATTTTGGAAAGGGGTAACATGAGGTTACGGCCTGGATTATATTATCACCCTGTTTGAGGGTCTTATGTTTGAAATACTTGTTGTATATCTATTAGATGTCATCCACACCAACACTTTATAGCCATAGAGAGTGCTGACCCCTTCGGGGGCGTCCCACCACCATTTCAGGTTGAAACTAGAGATTGATTCTTGTGCTCGTTGCTCGAGTGATCATCTAGGAGGGAAGACTTGGTTCGTGCTTCCTCCATTCCGTTTTTTAACATTAATAAACATGCTCGTGGATATTTTACTATAGGGCCTGCGTGCTCTTGTTTGCCACGTGTGGCATTTATTTTTAAACTATGTTTTCCGCTGTGAATTGAATTGCTTATTATGTTTGTTTATGGATATCTTATGTGTGAATGATATTCAAGACGCCTTGTATAATATGGATGTGTTTGACTGCGGTTGACTATTCGTATTGTACGACGGGTTGTTGACGTGTCCGGGTAGGTCCGGGGCGTGACATAATATCATAAAATATTCTTAACATAAATTATGAGTGTCAATTCGGATCCAATTCAATCTATTGAATTTTCATGTCCATTCAGATCTCTTCCGAATAATTAGGCGGTAGGATTTTATCTAAATCCTAATTCCATTCATATCTGATCACAAAAATAATAAATAATATCACAAAATATTCCAAATATAATTGTGAATATATATATATATATATATATTGGATCAAATTCGAAATATTCGAATACCACATCCTTACAAAAAAATCGGAATACAAAATACACATATAAATTCCAAAATTAATAAAAAAAACTAATTCCGGAATTAATAAAAAATAATTCCGAAAAATTCCAAAATAATCAAATTACTGATTATATATTAAATCGGGTAACTCGAATACAATAAAAAAACCGTAGTCTCTGATACCACTGTTGGGTTTCGGGCCAAAAAACGCAGCGGAATAAACAAAAAAAAATACTGCCCAAAAATAAACAACCGGATCTGATGTTCTTACTATAAACGAAATTACAAGATATAAGAGGGACTTACATAGCAATCTTAAGCAAGGATGTCAGACAGTTCGAGAAAACGATCACGAGCTCTACCGGTATCCACACGCACGTGACTGGATCGGCCACAGTGAACGTGCTAACATTCTCTTCTTTCTCTCTCTCTCTAGGTTTTGAGATGTGAATTTTAACTCTTAAAATTTGTGGGTTTCCTTAGCCCTATTTATAAGAGGAGGAAAGAAGGAGTTTTATAGCTAATAAAACTCTCCTGGAGGCCCTAGCCCAATACCATCGAAAACCTACTTCGAATTGGGCTAATCGGGCTATTTTAATGTTATTAAAGAACATTAATGATCCAAATCACTTAGTTGTGTGACCCTGTAGGTTTATATATCGTTGGGAGTGGGCTGGAAAATCAATTCAAGCCTCACAAATCATAAGCGGTCTCTAGCAAGGCATTATGACTATCCAAAATATATAAATGTCAATTAAATCTGACATAACCTTTTAATGATTAATTTGTGATAATAATTCTGTTTTGTCAATCGATATCTTAATTGAGACAAGGTTAGGTCGTGTCATCCTTGTTATTCTCAATTAATATTTCTTGATTACCAAGTAAGATTAATCTTGAACAAATGACATTTCATTTGAGCATGGTCGTGCTAATTAATCTTACTTGTCAAGAGCTCAATAGATATCTTTCTCTCGCTATACGAGAGTGACAAAAACTATCTTGATAATTCACATATCACTACATGATTCATAATATGTACAATCACCACCTTTATAATTACTCATAACATTTAATGGTGTTAATACATATTAATTCACATGCAAGTAATCACGATTATCTCAAGTATAACAATATAGCACTTCATCATTATTGAGGACAACACTGATGACATATAACCTAGCAGTGTCCTCAAGTTGGGTCTGTCTAATGAACTTGTTCACTAACAAGCATCTATGTTAGTAACTTGATATCTCTATACCCATGAATCCATGACTAGTGGAATATACACATCAGTTAATCCACATACTGGTCTATTAATTATTAATTATTATCGGTTAATCCCATGGGTCCATCCCTACCTAGCCGCTTACGTCTCTCTCTATCACAAGAGTGTGTATACCGTGCAACCGGTATACAGTGAGCACCGTATACCGGGACGGTTTTAAATTTTTTTTTTCCTTTTGTTTTTAAAAAATGGTTATAACTTTTTTATTTTTGATCCGATTTTTATAAAATTTATATCAACATTTTTTATTTTTCATGATCTTTCAAATGAGACCAATATTGCCTATGTAATTTTAACATATTAACATTTGTGTGTAAAATATGTAACTTTAAGTGTTAAAATATGTAACTCACGTTCAGTCAAGTCAAATGCAACTCGTGTGTATAAATATGTATCTCTACGTGTAACAATATGTAACTTTACGTAAAAAAATATGTAACTCGCATTTAGACAGGTCACATGCAACTCGTGTGTATAAATATGTAACTCGCGTGTATAAATATGCAACTTTACGTGTAAAAATATGTAACTTTACGTGTAAATATATGTAAGTCGCGTTCAGACATGTCAAATGCAACTCGTGTGTATATATATATGTAACTCGCTTATAAAAAGATGTAACTTGCTTATAAAAAGATGTAACTCGCTTATAAAAAGATGTAACTTGCTTATAAAAAGATGTAACTCGCTCATAAAAAGATGTAACTCAATTATTATCAAATGTAACTGAGGCCACTGATCCACTCCCAAACAGATTCGATCTTCTATTTCACAAACCTATCATCTCCCGAACAGATTCGATTTTTCTTATAATCCAATACTCATTAATATAATAGTTCGATAATTTCTTAAAATTACATACACAATATTGGTCTCATTTGAAAGATCATGAAAAATAAAAAATGTTGATATAAATTTTATAAAAATCGGATCAAAAATAAAAAAATTATTATCATTTTTAACATCAAAAGCAAAAAAAACAAAAAAAAAAAGATAAAACTGCGTGGTTTTTGCAACCGGGCGCACCATCCTCATGGTGCGCCGGTTGCACCATATAATTTGCGCTATCACAACGGCAGACTACGGAAATAAAGAAGGATCTAGAGAATAGGGTATACTCTTGGATTCTTATGTTTCGCATTTACTCTCCCTTGGACGGACTACATGTAATAGCCCACTTTTAATTCCTTCGTTCCTTATCTCTTTTGGGGCCGGTTTTTCTTATACCCGATCCTTCCCTCCCTCTTGAGTCTTGACTTTGTACATTCTCCTCCTTTTCTAATAAAACACCATCCTTTAAAAAAATTCCATTTGTTAGGTACTTGATCAATAATTTTTCCTAGATCACTTGAACTATAAAATTTAAGTTATTTATCTAATTGTGTAAACTTCCAGATTTAAATGATGTCCGATATGTGCTAATATCAAGTTACGCTCTTCCAACAGAGGAAGTGGATGCGGTTTGGCTATAAATGCATGCCTCTTCACCCAATTCATTTTCGCTTATGTTTCTTTAAAAAACTACTCTTGTGTCGATCTCTATATCAGAAATACTACTTGCTATTCCCATCTCATCGTAGTTCCACACACTCAAAAACACTTCATGACATTTTTTAAAGTAACCTAATCCGTTGAGGAATTGCTTGCCAGCGTACTGACTACTGACCCACTAAAAAGTTTTTTTTAATGGACCAACTAGAAAGGTGAATTAATCCATAATTATTGCACGTAATACTCTCTTTAAAATGTGCATCCCCCCTTGAAGAAAAGAACAAAAACGAAATTGGACAGCTGATCAAGTCAGTAGTGCTGTACAAAGGGGGTTGCATATTAATAAGGAACCAACAAAGAGATCATTCTCTCAACCTGCCCATGGTTCAAAACTTATGTGCAAATTTGTATACAGTAGTCTGAAAATACTACAATAGTTCTTGAGCGTCACAAGTTGATTTTGCTTCTTTCTTGACAGAGCCTAAAAATGAGCAGTTTTGGAAAGCGTCCAGACTGCTAGCTATGAGCTGGTTCAAGCCACCACCAAGACTATCACTTAAAATCAGATCTTCACTGTGGTGGCATCTACCGGAAGGTATATCCAAATCTAACGGTCCTAAAGAGTCAGGCTGCAAAAAGAAACGATAGAAAAAATTATGAGCAGGATGGTCAATAGCGTAGTGCTGAACTACCACAAAATACAACAACAACAACAACAACATCCAAGCCTTAATCCCAAAAGATTGTGGGGTCGGCTAATGACGGTTCATATTTCCTTCTTTTTTGCAAGAAGACAGATTTGAACCCCCGATAATCTTCAAAAGCCTCTACCAGTTATGCCAGGTCCGCCCTTTGCAATTGACCCATTAATCTTCAAAAACAGTTATCACTCTGTGATTCCTTCCCTCATACAATAATGGGAAAACTATCAAATAAGCCCTCATACAATATCAGAAACATCAATTAAGCCCTCATACTCCAAAATCACTCAATTAACTCAAAATTACAAAAAAAAAACGTTCAAATCAGCAATTTAGTCGGACACTTTCCAGTTTGCCAGTTTGCAGCTCACTTGTTGTCTACGTGTCACTATATTTAATTCATTTTGTATATTCTACTGTTAGAAAAAGTCAATCAGTTTCTTCCTCTTCTATCGAGGTCATATGCTCCCAAAAATCAATCTATATTCTTCGTAGACAACCAATCAATCAAGGAGAAGAAATTGAAGGATCAATCTGCTCCCCACCAGCATGAAGCAAAAGCCTCGTCATCACCACCAAGCTTCAGCTGGTGCCCCTTCGAGTCTCCGATAACGCTAACCGGAGCTACTAACTACCGAGTAGGGTTGAATCCAGCCAGGGCTCTGCTCATTGGAGAACAGTCTCCGACTTCCAAGCACCTGCTATTCTTGAAATTTTTCTAGATCGTCAACGCTCTTTTGGATTATATTATTTTCCCAGCTTAAAGAACTCCATCAACAACAACTCCTCAGATGGCAGCGGCAGCACGGTGGTATCTCCGGCGGTCGCTTCATCAAATTACCAAATAGCTATAAGACTCAGTTCCTATAATGAATCTACTGCAGCGAATGGCTACCACTAGTAGCTATCAAGCTTCATTTTCAATGGCCACCCTGATCAATCACTGACAATGAATTCCAATCCAGCCTGCCAGTATATGTAATATAATCCTCCTTATTCCATCGTCCACCTTCCAAACGGTGTGCTATTTTTATTTTTATTTATTTTGGATGAATATTAAGTCATCTCCCATGATCAATCGTATTGATGAGGTCCATAAGCTCTACTTTGGAGAAGCATATGACATACGTATTGGAGTATGTGTCTGAGGAAGAGATAGATCAGTTGACTTTTGCTAAAAAAAAAATATTTATACAAAAACAATTAAAAATGGTACACGTGGACACTATGGTAACAGGGAAACTAGGAGGTGACGGATTAAATAGCTAATTTGAATATTTTTTATAAGTTTGAGGGCTTGATTGTGATTTTGAAGTACAAGGGCTTAATAGACGTTTTTTATATAGTATGAGGCTTATTTGTTAGTTTTCCCTAAATTTATTTTTGTCCCAAAAGTCATATTTGCACAAAGTAAGCTACCTTTTATTATAGTTGATGTACTCTATTAAAAGTGGTCTCAAACAATGAGGTATGTTAAACAGAACTAAAAAAGGCAGCCCGGTGCATGAAGGCATCCCCTTTTGAATTTTGACAAGAGGCCGCTCCCAAGACTTGAACCTGTAACCTCTCAGTCACACAGCAACACCTAAACCGGTGTGCCAAGGCTCCCCTTCATGTTAAACATATCTAAACCAAGAAAATCAATTTAAAGTAAAGCAACATCTAATCATTTGGAATAGTTGCACCTTACCAATAGTAGTACATGGGAGCGAAATTTCACAAACATTAAAGCATGTTTTAAAAAAACACTAAAGGATGTTTAAGAACAAGATGTTACCCAAGATACATCAGAGAATGCATTAAAATCCTTCACCACATCTGAAGTAGACGGGGGGTCAGGTACACTTTCTAGGTCTGCGCTAGCCGTGGCATCAACAGGATTCCCAGTATCAGGTGGCCCCTGCAATAGAAAAAAAAAAGGAAATATTGAAGATCAAAATAAAATACTGCCTCTCCCTCCCAAAAAAGAACCCTGTTTGACTAATGTATGACCGTACTTATATTTTTTAAAGAGCGGCTTTGCGCACCGGTTTAGGTGTTCCTATGACTAAGAGGTCATGGGTTTAGGTCTTGAGAGCGGCCTCTTGCCATCTTTGGTCAAAATGAGAAGGGGAGGCTTGATTCTTATACACCATTGTGGTGAGACCCTTCCCCAGACGATTGATTTAACTTCATTACATCAATTTGGACTCCTTTTTTGGACGAAAAAGGTTTTCAAAGGTGGACTCTTCTTAAACTGGAAGTCGGTAATAGTTTACAAATATGTGCATTAAAGTTGGAATCATATATCCAAATAAACCTCAAGTAATGTGCTCAATACAGCAGCAGCAGCAGCAGCAGCAGCATTTTCCAAATTCATCTGTTTCTCTGGAGTAGTATTCTTGGAAGAATTCTGCACTTCCGTACTGTGAGAGCGTCCCTGAAACGCAAATGCATCGCATGTATCTTCGGCACCCCAAATTGTTGATAGTGCAGATTGGGAGGCAGTATGTGCATTCGCTATATTTTGATGTTTCTTTATATGAGCAGCAATTGCGGCATCAAAGGAGTCACAGTTGAATGGTATATGATTAACATAATTAGAACTGCTAGTAGGTATTTTGGAAGTTGTGCCATTGGCATCTTCAACATCATGTACTTCAGAGAGTAGATCTCCGACACTTATGTTTGTAAGGCTGTCAGCCCATTCCCCAGCACATGAGGTACTAGTCTTGTTAAACTGCAGCAATATTAGTCAAAACAGAAATGTATTTAAAATCATTCAAAGACAACTAACTTAAGGCACTATTTGTTTCCAAGCAAATATTTCTTCATCCATACATTATATACATTCCATTTTGGTATGTCCTAAAATCATCCACCACCACCACCACCCCGTTCCTTTAATGACCAGTATTAATGATATAATAATATAATTGACATTATTCTCAAGTATGGCACTAATTATTTCGGAATTTCACATTAGGGCAATTTCTTAATGTTTGACCCACAAAAAATAGAAAACATTAAACTATCACTTCCTGTTTTCAAATATGGGGGTCGATTCCCAATAGTATTAAAAAACTCATGTGCCAAAGACAAGAAAATATTCCTGGAGGCCTGGATATTGATTTGATGTTCTTAACACAATAAAATATTAAACAAACAGAATCTACGGTGGATAAATACGGCTTTCTTGTTTCAACTCTTAAATAGTACCATCATTTACTTGAACATGGCATATTATGATTACATAGATAGAATTTTGCCTTTTAAACTTAAGCATTTGATGGATAAAGAGTATTTCTTATTTCTAGGAAGTAGAGACATGAATGTGATGGGTTCACAGGAAAGATAAAACCAAGAAAAAGGAAATGTACCACTTCTGCACGTGTCATTATGGTTTCAGAACGTTCCCAACTAACAGCTTCAGTATGTTCACAACTTCTTGAAATATTCATACTGTTCACAGTAGAACAACATTTCGCCCCTGTAGGGGAATCAGAGGAAGCAGCTGGTAACACTATGTTTTTTTCTTGCACAATATGGATATTTGGATCACGTCCACATGGTATGGCAGACAGAGATGGTGCCAAAAGTGTTTCTTCGGCATTTGAAAACCACCCATACCTTGAACATGATTTTTCAAGGAAAACAATCAATTACAGTATTAAACATTTAGTGATATTATGTCATTAAATTTGAAAAATAACCAAATATGACCTAAGACGGAAAACAGGAGGGCTTCCAACTAGTACATATACATTCGCAGCAGTGAGGGTAGAATCCTTGGTCCATTTCTGAAAATGCACCATGTTTTCTTTTTGTGAATGGTAAGGGAAAAGCAATAAATCTCCACGTGCCACGCTAGAATTACCCCATTTGCGATTGAGATGTTCCATTACTGATGATATCTTCTTCTGTGTACTTAGAGTGAGCTCCAGATGTGGGTTATGGTTATCCTAGAATAGGATTCGCAGTAAATATATAAAAACGGGAAGTTCATGAACTGTTTACACAATCTACATATCAAATTAAGTTTATATTGATGTGTACCAGTTCCAAAGCTCTTCTTGTATCATCATCAATAGGAAAAAGTTGGAGTTTTAGTTTCCTTGAACTCTGCAAATTGGTCTCATTGAAGGGATTATGCAACAAAGTCGGGAAAGTGTGTGGAACTCCTCCACCATGTTCCAAACCATTTTGCACTGAAACATTGTAGAGAAAATTTGGACAAAAGATAATAATGTAAATTCCCACCAAATCATGCCATTTGGAAAACCATCACCATCTCATCATCTCACCCACCATGTATATCCTGGAAAGTATCATTGGCTGTGCGCTCCAAATGCTCAGCAGCATCAGCTACCAATGAAACCCCTGCAATTGCAGCCTTTTCCCATCTTTTATATGTAGCTGCAGATACAGCACCTGCATGGCAGGCATAATGACAATAACAGTCACAAAAGGGTAAAAAGTTTGGGACCATAAATATGAATAGCTATAATAATATGAAACAATCAAGACATGTAAACAAAAAAAGCACAAGATATAAAGTTTTACAAAACTTGAGTTGCTCATCTCATACTTGGCAATTTTATTGACTGTTAAACTTAACTAGATGAACTTGGCGAGTAACTCAGACAGGGTAAGATGTCAAAAGTGAAGACCCAAGTAGCACGGAAACAAGAAATGAAAAACGTGAAACGCAAAATGGGATTTAAATAAGGGGAAAGGTGCAAATATACCCCTGAAGTATATGTGGAAGTGCACATATACCCCTGAACTTCTAAATGGTGCAAAAATACCCCTTGTGTTCCTATAAAGGAGCAAATTTACCCTTAATGACTTTAAATAAATAAAAAACATAAATAAATTATAAATTTAAAATTCAAAATTGGAAAATTAAAATAAAATCTACTATTGTCCAATTCCCCCTTTTATTATTTTTATATCACAATTTAACATTGTTAGTATATAAAATTGTTTCAAAACTATTACTTTTATATGATTCGTTCTGAAAAGTGTTAACATATGCGTTGCAATGTAAAAAATCATTAATTTTTTGTATTCTTTGCACTATACTATTAGTTTTAAGAAAAAATCCCAATAATATTACTTCTGGAAAAGTGAATAACAAAAATTGAAAAATGTGACTTGGTATTTATAGTGACTATAAGTGTGTTCTTAAGTCACTTAAGTGACTTAAAGTACTTTTAGTACTTTTAGTGGTTTAGTCACTTAAAGTTACTAAGTCACATTTTTGTCTATGACTTTTTTATTAATAAAATTTTAGGTAAAACCTCTAGTTTTAATCATTAGTGTAAAAATGTACAGTCGAATTAGTTGTAGATAAATTAGAATACTTAGCCTTATCTGATGTAATTTACTCACACGTATTAGATAAGTATGGTTAGGTAGTCAGATCCTATTTTTTAGGATCTCATCAGTTAGACTGTTAGACTTGTATTCTATATATATTGTAACCGAGTGATGGAATGAATCAATCAATTCTATTCTCCCAAACTTACATGGTATCAGAGCAGGTTGTTTAAACACCACAATGGTGGAAACCGAACACTCTGATTCTTCCCCCCACTCACAAACCCATCACCCTAACTCCCAAATTAGCCAAATGACAAACTACCAGGCCCCGGTTAATTCATCTATGCTCATTACTGGACATAGATTGAATGGAACCAATTATCTAGAATGGTCACAGTCTGTCAAGCTGGCAATAGATGGAAGAGGAAAGTTGGGATACATAATGGGTGAAGTAGAGGAGAAGAAGAGTGGTGATGATGGCTACAGCGTCTGGAGGTCAGAAAACTCTTTGGTAACAGTCTGGCTTCTCAGTTCAATGGATGCATCAATCGCCAAACCTCACATGTTCATGAAAACTGCAAAAGAGGTATGGGATTCCATTAAAGAAACCTATTCAGATCTTGAGAACTCTTCTCAGATTTATGAATTAAAAACAAGGTTGTGGCAGTCCAAACAAGGAAGTAGAGATGTCATCTCATACTATAATGAGATGGTATCTCTATGGCAAGAGTTGGACCAATGCTATGATGCTGAAGACTGGGAAAGTGCCAAGGATCTGGCAAGACACAAGAAGAGGGAGGAAAATGACAAGGTCTATATGTTCCTAGCAGGAATTAATAGAGATATGGATGAAGTTAAGGGAAGAATACTTGGAAAAAAACCTCTACCTTCAATCAGGGAGGTATTTTCTGAAATCAGGGTGGAAGATAGTAGAAAAAGGGTTAAGAATAACACTCCAGTCCATCATGATGAACCTGGAGAGTCCTCAGCAATGATTGCCAAAGGAAATGAGAAGAAGAAGCCTTGGTGTGATCATTGCATAAAGTTGTGGCATACTAGGGAAACTTGTTGGAAGATTCATGGCAAACCACCTGGAGCAGGACAAAAAAGGTTGAAAGGGCCCTACATACTACCACACCTGAAACTGATCAAGAGCAACAAGTCAATTTCAAGCAGCTAATTTTCACCAAGGATCAGATAGAGCAAATCCTACAATTTCTCAATACCCAAAAGAACCCTAAATAAGAGAACCCTTCTTGTTCTTTTGCTCAGAATGGTAAAATTGCATCATTTTTCTGTTCTGGAAAACCAAACACCACATGGGTCATTGACTCAGGTGCAACAGACCACATGACCTCCATTTCCAATCTATATTCTTCTTATAAACCCTGTGCAGGGGATAAGAAAATTAAAGTTGCAAACTTGTTTCAACTTCTATTGATCTTTCTAAAGTCTTACATGTCCCAAACCTATCCTGCAACCTTGTTTCTGTTAGCAAATTAACCAAAGATCTCCAATGTTGTGTTAAATTTTATCCTTCATATTGCATTTTTCAGGATCTGGCATCGAGGAAGATGATTGGCAGTGCTAGGGAAGAAGATGGACTCTATATTTTTTATAAAGGGACTGAATCAAATAAACAAGGTCAAAGAAATACTTGTCTGCAAACTATTACTTTTCCCAGTAATAATGAGTTGTATTTAATTCATTATAGACTAGGTCATCCTAGTTTCCATTATTTAAAAAAGTTGTTTCCTCAATTATTTCATAATAAAAATGTTTCACAGTTTTATTGTGATATGTGTGCACTTGCAAAGCATCATAAAAATTCATATCTTCCCCACAGTTACAAACCTACCAGTCCTTTTACTCTTGTGCATAGTGATATTTGGGGAGCATCTAGAGTCCCTACCTTAAAAGGAAAGAGATGGTTTGTAACAATTATTGATGATCATACAAGAATGACATGGGTACTCTTAATCAAGGAAAAATCAGAAATAGAATATGTATTTAAGCAGTTTTATGCAATGGTCCAAACTCAATTCAATACCAATATCAAAATGGTAAGAAGTGATAATGGCCGTGAATATTTTTCCTACAAATCTGAATCAATTTTTTGCTGAAAAGGGAATAATTCATCAAAGTTCTTGCATTAATACTCCTGCTCAAAATGGAATTGCTGAGAGGAAAAATAGACATTTACTTGAAGTTACGCGTGCAATCATGTTTTCAATGAAAGTTCCAAAATATTTATGGGGAGATGCTGTTTTACATGCTACCTATTTAATAAATAGGATGCCATCAAAAGTTTTAGGGTTTAAAACTCCAATTAGTATTCTTCAAGAATGTTACCCTACTACTAGATTGATTAACACTCTTCCTTTAAAAAAATTTGGTTGCACTGTGTTTATTAAAAATCCAGACAAAACTGCAAGTAAATTTGATCCTAGAGGAACTAAGTGTGTCTTTCTAGGTATTTCATCCACACAGAAAGGGTATAAATGCTTTGATCCTTCAACAAAAAAGATGTTTATTTCAATGGACACTGTTTTTGTTGAAAATCAAGTATGTTTTTATACTCATCTTCAGGGGGAGAGTTCAAATGAAGATGCTAACAATGTGTTACATAGGCATGACAATCTTGATTTTCTTGACATTAATCTAGATATGCATTCTATTGGAAACTTAGATGCATTAGAAAATGGTCAAACTTCAGAAAATAATGAAATAAATACAACTGATAAAATGGGAAAAGAAGAGCTGCAGATCAGTAAGTTCTTTGGCAAGGTTTATGAGAGAAAGGTTCTGAATCAAAGAGAAGAGGAAGTCTCTGAACCTACATCTGTTGATGAATCTGACTTGATGACAGTAAATGAAAAAGGTAATGACTCAACTGATCTTTATTTACCTATAGCCCTCAGAAAAGAAAGAAGGTCATGTGTCAAATATCCTATTTCAAACCATGTTTCTTATTCTAGATTATCCTCTACATTTGCATCCTTTTCTTCTATTGTCTCCTCTATTTCTATCCCATCAACCATACAGGAAGCTCTATCTAAACCTGAGTGGAAAAAAGTTGTTTTGGAAGAGATGGATGCTCTTGAAAAGAATCAGACATGGAAGGTTGTAGAGCTACCAAAAAACAAGCCCACAGTTGGATGTAGATGGATTTTTACTCTTAAGTTCAAGGCAGATGGCACTCTTGAAAGATAAGGCAAGGTTAGTTGCCAAAGGTTATACACAGACTTATGGCATAGACTACACTGAAACCTTTGCACCAGTTGCAAAGTTGAATACTATCAGAATTCTTCTATCTATTGCTGCAAATTTAGATTGGCCTCTTCAACAATTGGGTGTGAAGAATGCTTTTCTAAATGGAAAACTTGAGGAGGAAGTTTACATGAATCCTCCTCCTGGGTTTGAAAGAAGGTTTGGTTCAAGAGTATGTAAGCTGGAAAAATCACTGTATAGACTCAAACAGTCCCCAAGGGTTTGGTTTGATAGGTTCACATAGTTTGGTAAAAAACAAGGATATAAAAAGGCCCAAGCTGATCATACTTTATTTATAAAATGCTCAAGTAAGAGGGAGATTGCTATATTAATTGTCTATGTAGATGATATTATCATTACAGGAGACTTTTATGCAGAAACACAAAACCTGAAGAGAAAACTTGCTACTGAATTTGAGGTGAAAGATCTGGGAGAGTTGAAATACTTTCTTGGCATGGAAATAGCTAGATCAAAAAAGGGAATTATTGTATCTCAAAGAAAGTATGTTTTAGATCTTCTTCAAGAAACAGGGATGAGTGCATGTAAACCAGCTGACACTCCTATAGATCCAAATCAAAAGTTAGGAGATGTCAGAGATGGGGTTCCAGTCAATGTGCAACAATATCAGAGATTGGTAGGAAGACTTATCTACTTAGCACATACCAGACCTGATATTGCTTTTGCAGTTAGCATGGTAAGTCAGTTTATGCACTGTCCATATAAAGAACATCTCGATGCAGCTTACAGAATTCTTAGGTATTTGAAAAGTTGTCCTGGAAAAGGATTATTCTTCAAAAAGAACCATAGTAGGGCAGTAGAGGCCTTTACAGATGCTG